GTGTCCAGATTTCAATCAAACGAATATTTACATTAAGACCACCCACTGGGGCGGACGTTTAACGCATACCCAAAATCGTTTTGCGACAGCCAATCAACTCTTCGCAGCCTGTTCGATGGTCTGCAGCTTACCTGTTATAGCTTTTTATTGATATTTGCCATTTTTTTAATGCTTTTTTAACTGTAATAATTAATTAAATGTTCACTCGGCTGTAGGTAAATAGACTATGTGACGTCGATTGCGCACTGTCCCACTGCGGTACATTGTATTGGAAGTTTTTCAATCCATGCTTATGGCTTCTGGCTAATGTTTTTATGGCCTAACAGACCAACTTAAAAACTTTAATAAAAATAAATTCAGTAACATTTAATTTGAGTATCTTAAATATGGAATTAGCTAAGATCTAACAGAGTAAGACAGACTGGTAAGGTAAGGAAAATAGAGGAGAGAGAATGGATAGAGAGTAAAGAGAGTAGAGAGAGTAGAGAGAGCACAGAGAGTAGAGAGAGCAGAGATAGTAGATAGAGTACAGAGAGAGTTAAGTGTGAGAAAAGAGTGAGAGAGAGTAGAGAAAGAGGGAGAGAGAGATAGTGAGAGAGATGCGAGAGGCTGTGAAAGAGATACCTACTAAGTGAGGGAGGAAAACAGAATAAAAGAAGATCAGACATATAGATGTAGATATACGTACAAGAGATGAAGATAGTTAGCAAAAATACTAAATATTCATGCTTTAGTCAGCTTAGTTTTAGTTTGACAACTAATGAATTAAAAATAAATAATTTATAAATATTTTAAAGTTTTCAAACTTCATACGAAAGCTAATTAATTAATAATTTGATGTTAACAGACATAAGAATCGTTTGAATAATTAGAAATCAAGTGTAAATTGATAAGAAGCATGTTTCGACAGTCCACATTTCGGCGATAGCTTAATAAAAATATATGTCTAATTAAGTTGATGTTCGTTCAGTGGCCATGATTCGTTAATTTATGTGTGGCTTATATATAACTATTAGAACACTATTTCATTTAATTAAATGTGTCTACCTTGCAGCAAATTTTAATTAAAGGGGGGAGATGGTGAGGGGAAGGCCAAGGAACACACAGATTATGTCACTTATGCTGACACGTTGCGTATACGCACTGTGAGCAGTGTTTTAACTTGGCTAAATTGAAGACTGGTGTTGGCCTTTGGGCCAGCTGCTTATTACGCCGCATTTAACCTCGGTCCGCGTCTTGTCTGCCTGAATAACGAGTCGGTCATAAATAATTGCAGCTAACTGTTGTTCACTCGGTCTTTCACTTCGTCTCTTGACGCTGCTCATCTTGCTGAAAAATGACATAAAATTATACAAAAAGGCGCAGGATGCGGAGATTGGGTCTGTAGCTGTAGCTGTGGCTGTGGCTGTAGCTCGGCATGTCCGCAACAATTTGACACTTATAAATTATGTCACATACTTCTTGGCGGCCAGTGTGAAAAATTGACCAAATTGCGGCCCTGGAAACTGCTAAAGTTTGCTCGCCAAAACTTTTAATGTTTATCGATAAATTTGCAATTTCTTCAAGCTGGTCACAAGCTCGTGATCTATGTGATTTACTCAATTGCTGGATGCGGCTGAACAAGCGCTAATCTAGTGACAACTTGTTGAGCTATAAATTAAATGTGGCCTCCCTCCTGGCGCAGCCATTGTGCTGCCTTTGTATGTGTGCATGTATGTGTGTGTGAGATTGTGTGTTGCCATTGTTTTCTTTAGTTGTGTCGACGCCAGCCCGACTACTCAATTAGCCGCCAGCGTTGCGGCCATTGCAGCTGCCTGGCGACGTTGCTGACAAATTGCATTTGCTGCCAGTTGACATGCAGACAACTGCTCGTTGTGTGTCGGAGGGGTGGGCGTGCCGAAGGGGCGGCCGATGGTCTGCACACACCAATGGCCAACGGAAGCAGACGCAATTTTTCCCATTGATTGGTTTTAATTAGAGAAACCATCAGACACAAATTAGCCTTGCGTCTTCATTAATACTTTTTTATAGCCAACTCGCATTTATTACTCTCTCCCACTCAAAGAGCCCGGCACGTGCGGCTTCAACTTTTAGTTTAAGCAACGAGCTACCCAAATTTGAAACTCTGTATGTTTTTCACTCACGTTTTGCTTTTTGCTGATAAACTTTGTTCAAGTGCTTTGCACTTGCGCTTTTCCGCTTTGCTTTAGGATAATAATTGCCGAAAAAAAGTTAAAATTTTTAGCAACATTTCGCTAATGTCAAAGAATTTAAGAATGATTTGGCTTAACTTTACTTTACGCATGTCTACAGGGTATTAGCCAGTCCTGTAGGCCTTACATAATTATAGCAGCTTTTTGACATTTCGCAAAGCTTGTTATTATTGCCATAAAAGCAGCTGTCAGAGCTTTGTACACCGCTTGCGGCTTCCAGTGGCAACCGACAAGTGGCAAGTGGCAAGTGGAAAGTGGTAAGTGGCAAGTGCAACTGAACGGTTTAACTGGCAGCGGCATCCGATAAGCTCATAAAAGTAGCACACAATGGGCCAACTATGTGAGTTTTAAGTGCACATATTAAAGCACTTGCTGCTCCGTTCCCATAGGTTTTTTTTGTGACTTTGTTTCTCCTTATAAATCATTCAACAGAGCTCGCGAATTCGTTGTATGAGAACTTTTGCTGCTTCACATGGCTTTATATTTATTATTACTCCGAATCCCTTGTTGCATTTGGCATCTCTTGTTTGCATGGCATATCTGAACGAGTTTTTAGTTCTCACAGTTAATTGTTATTTGTAAAAGTTTTGGCCATTCCACGTCCACATCTTTGTTATCGTCAAGGCTTAACGAAACTTTATCATCTGCTTATCCCTTGCTCTCCACCAGCTTACCGAAAACTTTTTCTTGCCATTTTCATTTTGGACAAGACGCTTCAGTTCAGTCTAATTCCACTAAAAGCCAAATCAAAAAGCAAGCCAACTGAATGGCCAACACCACTCCTCAAGCCCGGCCTTAGCCTCAGCTGTTGCTGCCTGCTGACCAGTTTGCTGTTCAAGTTTCTCAAGTTTATTTTACATAATTGCACTGCCACTAAATTAAATGCGCACGCACTGAGCCAGGCGATGGCACGCCCCCTTCAAATAACCAAATGCCAGCTCAGCTTGAAACTTTCGGTAGCAGCTTTAAAGCGCCAAAAAGTTTACGAGCTGCCCCTCGTTAACTAATACAAGTAGCAAACGCTCGCTTAAGACTAACTCATGCATGTGTGTGTGTGTGAGCGTATCTGTTCACATAGAGATGTGTCTTTATTATGGCATTGTCACGACTCACGAGTTCGCTTTGCACAAAAAGCACGAAGCTTTTGCAGATAAGATGTTAAAGTTTTACCTATAAGAAGTATTTATATAATGCATTTATTTTATAAAATATTTTACTTAAATAAAATCTAATCTAAATATTAGTTTATTTACACATATCTAACATTTATCGAGTTGAAGTCAGGAGAGACCCGGCCTTACTCATCGCCAAGTGCAGTCCAATTGCGTTCACTCAACTGTAAGCCATTCGTAATATTCAAGTATATTGTGTGTGTGTGTGTGTGTGTGTGTGCAAGTAGCATTCAAAATGCACACTCATCTGATACCATGTTCTATGATGAGTTGTATGTGCCTTCCAGTTCAGCCACGCCCACAAGGACACTCCAAAGTTGAACGATGTTTAGTGTGTTGTAGCGTATGTGTGTACGTGGGTATGTATGTGTGCGTGTACGTGTACGTGTGCGTGTAGCTGCAGCATACTTTTCAGCGCTGGCAAATGAAAAGCTGTCCGATTGAGTTTCGATCTTTTTCGACGTATTTTTGTTTTAGTTTCATTCAGCCAATGTGCACAGCTACAGTTAACGCATTGATTTCGATTTGACTGCTTTTGACATTTATGCTCTGCTTCTGCTGCTGCTGCTCAACTGCTCCTTCGAGCTCATGCGTCCTTTATGCTGTCTAAATCGATTTACTTGCTACATTTTATGACTCTACTATTATCGACAGACCAGTCGGTCAGAGTAAATGCGAATGCCGCACTTGATTTAGTGATTTAGTCATTGTTAGCCGCCTCTTAGCCTCTTGCTCAAAATATTGAATTGACTTTATTGAATTGTGAAGGAATAACAAAAACTGTTTAACTCTATAAGTAATATATAACTTGCAATAGCTATTTGCTTTGTAATCAAATTAGCAATTACTCAAAGTGTCACGAGTTTAGTTTACACTAATATTGTGATTAAATTCAATTAGTAACTGAGCCGTAAATATATATATATATATATATATATATATGTATATATGTACTAAGAGCCTCGTTAGCAGCTGCAGAATATTATATTAATACCAGCATTATTATTAATTCTGACAAAGGCTGTGGGCAAGTGCAACCTCAGCTTTCAGGTTGGAAGTTAGATTGGTCACTTAACCCCAAACACCTGGTGTTGCATCAGGTGTCAAGCATCAGGAGTTTACAGCCGGACATTGTAAAATACCATGTATTAAGTCACATTTTAGTTATTTCCAACAAAGAGGCAACTGAGGCGTGTCTTATCCCATGTATCTGAATTGATTATTTAATAATATGGTATCAATGTTGTCATAAATCGTTTAATTGCAAATGCCTGTGCTTGATTCGCTTGTAAATGTACAAATGAAACTGGAGACATTCGTTCAGTGAACTGAGATAAATACAAGGAATATTTACTCTTGGCTGGCCAAGAAATTTGCTTGGAATTGTTATGAATCTAGTAACCACATATTTATTGAAAATATGAGCTACAGTTCAATTAAATCAAGATAAACTTAGAGAGTAATTTTAATTGAGGTAAACGTAGCTCAGACAAAGCGGAGAGGAAGTGAGTTAGTTTGACACGTTTGTCCTGATTTGTATTTAAATAATAAATAAATATTATGATTTCATATTCATATTGTATAAATTGAAAATATATATTCTCTATTTTTTCAGGTGGTTCTGACAGCAACAAGGGAAAAAGTAAAAAATGGCGAAAAATATTACAATTTCCACACATATCGCAGTGCATCCACCTGAAAGACAAATTAGGTGAGTGAAAAATGGGAAAATATAAATCAAAAACGATTTGAATATTAATTTTGCTTATTTGCTTATCGCTTATCGCTTAACGCAAACCAATACAGACATAAGCTATGGCTACGTGATAGACCAACAGCCGATTGGTCGTGAGCTCTTTCGTCAGTTCTGTGAGAACAAGCGGCCCGTTTACTTTCGCTACATCAGTTTCTTGGATCAAGTAGTGAAGTAAGTCGCAGCGGCAGATTGGGAGTCGAGGCAGTTGAGATATTAATTGAAATGCTTGCAACATTCGCAGATATGAGATCGAGTTTATTGTGAATCGCATATTCATTGGACATGACATTGGGCGGCGCTTCTTGGACATTGAGCCACAGCTGGAGCTGCGCAACGGCGGCAGCGGTGACGGCGAGGGCGATGGCCTGGACCTGGAGACCCGAGAGGAGCTGCTGCGCAATAGCAGCATAGCCAATGCACCTGAAACAGTTGAGACTGAACATTGTAACAATACCACCGCCAACAACTGCAACAATACCAACCACAAGAAACTGCAGCACGATACCCACAATCACAATGGCGAGGATGCGGCGCTGGCGCTGAATGGCGGTGAAGGCGACGTGGAGAACGATGGCGACGAGGGCGTTGAATGCGAGGGCAGCCAGGATGCGAAAAAGGGTGGCGGCGGTGCATCTGCTACCGGTTCGGGCTCGCCATCCGATGAACTGGTCCTCGATGTGCTCAACGATGATCTCATTGCACAAGTTCGCAGCAAGCTAAACAGCGGCGGCAAGGATATCTTTGCCCACTGTATGAAGGCAGTGAAGGCGTTTCTGGCTGGTGAACCATTTCGCGAGTTCGAGAACTCCATGTATTTTCACCGGTGCGTACCGCACGACTGTAATTAATACAAATTGAATCATTTGATTAATTCACAAATATCCTTGCAGCTATCTGCAGTGGAAGTGGCTCGAGGCACAGCCCATCACATATAAAACGTTTCGCATGTACCGCGTCCTGGGCAAGGGCGGATTCGGCGAGGTCTGTGCCTGTCAGGTAAGTGGACAATTGGATAACAGCGCATACACACGTGTCCATTAACGCGTCATCCTTTGCTGACGTTCGCAGGTGCGCGCCACTGGCAAAATGTACGCGTGCAAAAAGCTGGAGAAAAAACGCATAAAAAAGCGTAAGGGCGAGTCTATGGTGCTCATTGAGAAGCAAATACTGCAAAAAATCAACTCGCCATTTGTTGTCAATCTGGCCTACGCATACGAAACAAAGGACGCACTCTGCCTGGTCCTGACTATAATGAACGGTATGTATTATCCAGTTAGTGCAGCCCCATAGTCCACCATTAAGGCCATTTGAATAAACTGAACTGCAGTCGACGGATTTGAAGCGTATACTCTAAACAATGGCACGTTCGATTGAAAGGACATTGCCATGAATAGAACTGACATTGGACAGAGTCCACGCGCCCATTGGCTCTGTAGATAAGAATGCTGCTCAGCCAGCTCTCGCTGGCCACTCCAAGGATTCCAGCTCATATGGGCACAATGGAGCTTTCTGATTTCAGATCATATGTTGCTGCTACGATTTTTAATCCCGTGCCATGCTAATTGGGTTTACAGCACCGGAAGCATACAAACAAACACACGCGCACACACATAGAGAGACACACACTTGTTAGCGGGATTCATTATGCCTAACAGGCAGACATCAGTTTTCATTTGGATGCATTCATAAAAGTGATAGCAAATGAAATGTGAATGTGTGTGAATGGGAATGTGAACGAATGTGTAATTCTCGCCTTTCGCATTGTTCCTTTTCCCATTTTAATTAAATTCCCACATCCTTTTGTTCCTCGCTCCTCCAATTGCCATTCAGCACAAAATTGAATTACAAAAAGGACAAAACACGCTTACTCAACATTTTGGTAACTCTAGCTGTGGCTCTTCAAAATCGATTTGTGAAGCAGGTTCCCAGTAATTCGACTGTAAAACTCAATGGACAATTAATAAATTCGGAATTAAATTCAACATTTTGTAGCTTTAGCTGGAATCTGCTGAAATCGAGAACAATTACACAAATCAAATGCTGCTTTTCCCTCGTTCTTAGTTCCCTTCGAATTCACATTTGGCACTTTTCGGTTTTATCTTTAAGGCGGCGATTTGAAATTTCATATTTACAACATGGGCGGAGATCCTGGTTTTGAGCTAGAGCGTGCCCGATTCTATGCTGCCGAGGTGGCTTGCGGACTGCAGCATCTGCACAAGCAGGGCATTGTTTACAGGGATTGCAAGCCGGAGAACATACTGTTAGATGATCATGGGCATGTGCGCATATCTGATCTGGGCCTGGCTGTGGAGATACCCGAGGGGGAGATGGTGCGCGGACGCGTCGGCACAGTGGGTAAGTGACGGTGGGCATGTGAGCCAAAAGAAATAAAATAACTAAACATCTTTAAATCTGGCAGGCTATATGGCGCCGGAAGTCATAGATAATGACAAGTATGCCTTTTCGCCGGATTGGTTCAGCTTTGGATGCCTGCTGTATGAAATGATCGAGGGTCAGGCGCCATTTCGCATGCGCAAGGAGAAAGTCAAGCGCGAAGAGGTGGATAGACGTGTAAAGGTCCGTTGACAGTCCCTAAACAATCCAAACCGAGATATGGCTTAGGAATATTAACTAACTTCATTTGCAGGAGGATGCCGAAAAGTATTCGAGCAAGTTTAATGATGAAGCCAAATCAATGTGCCAACAGCTGTTAGCTAAATCGATAAAGCAACGCTTGGGCTGCCGCAACGGGCGTATGGGCGCCCAGGATGTGATGGCGCATCCGTTTTTCCACTCGACACAGCTGAATTGGCGACGCTTGGAGGCGGGCATGCTGGAGCCGCCATTCGTGCCAGACGTAAGTAATACGTCGAGCCAAATCAATAACGCGCAAGCTAAACATTATTTCATGCCGCCGCCAACAGCCGCACGCCGTTTACGCCAAAGATGTGCTCGATATTGAACAGTTCTCGACTGTGAAGGGTGTCAATATCGATGAATCCGATACGAATTTTTATACGAAATTCAATACGGGCTCTGTATCCATTTCATGGCAAAATGAGATGATGGAGACGGAATGCTTTCGCGAGCTGAACGTCTTCGGTCCCGAGGAGAGTCCCACGCCCGACTTGTTGATCAATGCCATACCGGAACCGGACAAGGCAGGCTGTTTTCCGTTCAGGCGCAAGGTAATGACTAAGTACACTCGCATTATTTTTATCGACTAATGATTTGGTGTTTTCTCTTATTTGCAGAAGAAGCAACCGGCTCGCACACAACCCATACCCATTCCTGAGCACCTGCTAACCACTAGTCACAGCGTGTCATCCACGACAGTCGAGAGCTGATAGCATAGATTAGTTAAAGCCCAAACGCCTAACGTACACACATAGAACGAATTGTGACCCACACGCGCACAATTAACATCCAACCCCAAAACCAATCAAAACCCCAATTAAGAGCAAAGCGTACAAATCGCACCACAACTGAAACTCATTGCAATACACGAACAACAACAACCAGAACAATATGTATCAGGAGGGCGAACATCATTTTTTAAATTATATATATATATATAAATATATATATATATAAATATATTTATATATATATATATGTATGTATGTATGTGATGATTAACTATGCAAGCAAACAAGGATAAAAGGGTCCGCACAATATGCAAAAATTAATTTATAAATGTTTTCACAAAAGATACAGACGCACACACAACTTGCGAGTACACTGAGCGAAAGGCACGTTAGGTGGTTACTTAATCGATGGTAGTAAAACACATACCATAGCATACTATACCATACCTACTTATTGAACAAGTACGTTTTCATGGTAATTTAAAGGCTACAAAGCGAAAACTAAAAACTAAACTAAACTATTCAAAATAAAAATAAAAATAAATAAATACATAAAAAGCGCAAGCCAAATTGGCCGTCAGTTTGTCATAGCACCTAAAGTAATCTTACCTAAGCAAAAACACACACAAACACATGTATGCTATTTAAATATGTATACAGGAACTACTTATAATTGATACACTCACACACTCAGACACACACACATTTCTATATAGAGGGCAATCTAGAGGCAATGCCAGAGTAAAGAATGTAATATTTGTAAAGTAGTTTTTGTGCTCAACGTGTTTTTGCAAAGTGTGGGGGAGCAGAGGCGGGCGGTCGGGGGGTTAATGCGTCAGGTGTTTTAGTTAGCGTGTTAAGCAAATGACATAAATACTCGAACAACTTTAATGCATTTTTATTGAAATACTTAACATAAATAAGTACATCTCTACATATATGTAACATATATTTACATATATATCGATGTAACTGTATGCATAAATGAATGTACATTTACTTAGATACATCTACATATATCATTTTTATAATTGCCGCACACTTTTCCTACGCTTTTCAATGCTCTTCAAACAATTCTGTTGCCTAAGTTTAAGTTGACTGCAATTTGTTCATTAGGATTTTGAGGACGTGATTATTGATATTTCTGTTTTGTCATGCAATAATGCTGCATACATGCCACAACCTGTGCTTTACGAGGGAGCATGTGCGTGTGTGTGTGTGTATGTGTGTATGTATACATATAGAAAATTTGCATGCAGCAAACGATGCCAGCTAATTGCTAATTGAGACGTCGACTAGTGTTAAGAGTTCTGTGTATAAATGTGTAGTGTAGGCATTTTTGTAATTAGCAACAAAAAAAAAGAAAGGAAATACAAAGGCAAACCAATTTGAGAATTTATTATGTTAATCATTAAATGCAAATCATACACGATTGCAGCTTCCCATTCACGGGTCAGTGCGATAGCAGATGCGAAAATCAAACACATTTAGTTGCAATTCAATTCATTTTTTGGCACAATTAGCTAATGTTAGGGTATACAATGGCGACAAAAATCAAGAAATTACATATATATTACAATGAATGAAGCACAACCCACAACACAAAGCAAACAAAAAGAACAAAAAAAGTCAAATAACATAAACGCCACAAGCTCGAAGAAAGCATAATTGAATTTTAGCACAAAAGAATCAAAGCAAGCGCCGAAATATTTATCTATAGTAATTAAAGGCATATTTATAGATCATAATAATAAATACCAGATATACAAGCATAAAGTCTACTGTGTAAGAGCAATTAAATGCGAAACAAAAACAAAACCAACATTCAACAAACAAAAAACAAAAACAATAAACGTATTTAACTACAACTATTAGCAATTGTTATTTCATTTATTTATTTGACAAAATGATTTTATGCATGAGTTGTCTTTATTGTGGCATTGCTCGAATCTAAATTCCTTCAAAGGTCAGTTTAAATATGTCGAAATTAATGAAATTATGGAGCTCCAAAGAGCTCAAACGCACTGAATTTATAATATCTATTGATATCATTTCGTGATTGCAGTATTTTATTTTTATATTATTTTGCAATTGACTTTTTTTTAAATAAGCAAGGGCTTTCGTTTACAGTTGCTGACCCTTGTTGTTAGAACTTCACCCGTGTAATCCAGCTCACACTCGGCGCCATTATTCTCGAAGGACATCTCGCCCAGAACGTACTCGGGATTCAGTTCCACGCGCAATTTGTATTTCTTGTTAATGGGCACCGTGGTCACATCCACCCACTGGCAATCTAGCACATGGCTGTACACGTCCGCGCAGCCAGCAGAAATACCTATTAATGGTTTGGCGTTAAGAAGAGCTCAAATGAACGGGGCACCAGCTGAGAACTTACCTTGCGTAGTGTTGCCACACATGTATTTTGGGGTCACGCCCAAATTGCACGTTGAGTCCATTAGGCAGAAGGAGGCTTTGTGGCCCTGGGCCACCTTTTGGTAACGATTATTGTATACGTTGAATGTGGCAAAGACATTCATGCTGTGGTAGTGCATATGACACTGATGCCACTCCCAATCCTTGTAGTTGGCGTAAGGGCTGACGTCGGCAGTGCCCACATTGGAAGCCTTGACAGAGAAGCGCAGAAGCTTGCGGATGGCTCTCGGATTTGTTCTGCGTACCACATAAGCATCCTTCGATACACAGTTCTCTTCCATGGCACAAGTCAACTGTGTCATTGGTACTAAAGCCAGGTACGCACTTATCTCGATGTCGGAGACACCTAGCTCCAGATCTGCTGATTTACTCACACAGGCCACCGTGCTGACATTACGATTGTTGGCATTGCACATAGTCGGATATGTCGGCTCGCGGTGGCATTCCGATAGTTTTCGCTCAGTGCCGCGGCAGCGGGTGCCGACCAAGCCCCAACGATTGGCTTGACTATTGCCATGCTTAGTGCTGGCTATTGCCATGGAAGCATATCCCAGGCCCAACTGCCGGCACACAACATTACCTTCACGCAGTGACCAGTGTGTGCTGCAAATTGTACCCCAACTTCTGCCATTGTCAAAACTGATCTCCACACGACCCTCTCGCAGTGGCTGCATGGCTGGAGCAGTCGAACTAGCCAGGCGTATTCGCATATTGCGAAAATTGTTGTACATGTTTAGCTGGCAGGTGCACAGACCCAGGCAGGACAGCAATAAGAGAAGCGACTTCATTCTCCACTGGTAAGCATCTAGTGCGGCATTCTAAAACTGAGCGCAGGTTTTAAGCCATGATAAACAAAGACTTCCATATTCAAAAAATAAAACAACAAGAGAAACATCTGCCTTAATTCTGCAGCCTTATTGTGTAAAGATAATGTGCATTGTATTTTTTCGTTCAGCGCCGATTTACATATACAAAAGCCAGCTGGCTGGCTGCCAATATGCATGTGGTTCCGCGTGGCTATGACTGTCTGTGCGATGCTTTTTGCAACTGGAGTGCATTAATTTAACGCAAACATTAACAATAACAGAAACAACAGTCTGTGCGGCTGTTATAACTCGAGCAGCTTGGTGATCTCCACTTTTAGCGCTGATGGCTTAAAGACGCCGTGCTCCGTGATGATGCCAGTGATAAGGGATGCGGGCGTTACATCAAAGGCGGGATTCCAGCAGTTAATGCCCGGTGCCGCAATCCGATGTTCACCCACGTGCGTCATTTCACGATCGGGTCGCACCTCAATTATGATATGATCCCCGCTGGGTATTTGCAGATCGATGGAAGTCAGCGGTGCAGCCACATAGAACGGCACGCCATGGTGTTTGGCCACCACTGCTATTTGATAGGTGCCAATTTTATTGGCCGTATCACCATTGGCAGCCACCTAGATGAGATTACGGACACTGATGAGGCTGCCAAGATTATGCGACGGCATTAATAGCTTACCCGATCCGCGCCCACAACAACTGCTGCAATATTCTTCACACGCAGCAACGCCGCTACCATGCTGTCCAGCACCAGGGTGGCGGGTAGCTTTTCATGCACCAGCTCATAAGCGGTTAAGCGTGCGCCCTGGTTATACGGCCGCGTTTCCGTGCAGTAAACGTGCTCTATAGAGATATATTTGCTTATTAATTACAAGTTAGATAAATTGAAGCGAAGCGGTCGCTTACCTAGTTTGCTGAGCTCGCTTAGGCGCCGCACCACGCCCAACGCTGTGCCATACCCTGCTGTCGCCAGCGATCCAGTGTTGCAGTGCGTCAATACACGCACAGGACCAGCTACAGGCACACCCGTCGCCTCGGCCACGTGCTCCAGTATGGCCTTAGCACCATTAGCGCCAATCGCGCGATTGTCGGCAATGTCTTTTTCCAGCATGGCCTCGGTGGCGTTTAGGAATCTTGAATAACAGTGACGTAAATTTCGTGGTTTTAAGTATTTGCCTTTAATTACCTTTGTTTCATCTCTGCCACCGTAACGGCATCATCCTTGGTGAGGTCGTTGGCTAGCGTGATGAGCTCGTCGGCAGAAATTTTCATGTTAACAGCTGTGGGTCGGGCGGAAACCAAATAGTTCAGCTTGCCCTCAATTTCCTGACGCAGCGACTTTTTGCTACCAAACTCCTCTGGATAGATTTCAACGGCCAGCGAGAGGCAGCCCACAATGGCAATGGCCGGAGCGCCCCGCACCTGCAAAGACGGTAAACAAAACAGGCGGAGACAGAGACGAAGACAATTACTGAGTGGGTGCAAGTGCGGGGTTTAAATTTGGTATCATCTGCTGCTGTGTCAACGCTCTTATCTGGCCATAAACTCTTTATAGTCACATTATATAATAACTCGGAGTCCACGTGATGAGCCGCATGCGAGCTCTTTTTGCATAGGCAGCAGTAAACAACTGCAAAATAATCTCTCGCTCTCGTTGATTCTATTTGTTTTAGCAAAATAATAAATAAATAGGAAAACGACCCACTGTTCGCTTCTCAATATTCAGTCTTGGTAATAAGCAGAGGGCAGCCCACTTAAATGAGCAAACCGCAAACAATTTCTTGTTGGGCAAGATGCAATTAATTTTGATGATGATGTGTGCAAGCGTTTTGATGCTTGGCAAGCAATCTGCAAGATTTATTTAAACGATCTTCAAGAAACTTTTAATTACGTTATTTATAGAGCGGGCAAATGGCAATTTGAATATAATTCAAGAGTTGAGCAAGTGACAGGAATTTAATTCGGTTGTGTGCTGATTGACAAAGTGATTGTGGCTTCTCACCTGCATTTTGTTGATCACCTTCCAGCCGTCCTCGACGCCGCGCACCGTCAAATACTTGGAGACGACGGGCAAAAGCAGCTGATCCAGTATCTCCAGGCTGCCACGCTGATATTTGATCGATTGTAGGCTCATCCTTAACAATTTGTACTTTACGACTAACTGCAATAGACAAAGGCAAAATATTAGGAAAGCTCTGATGGCTTGAAGGCCAACACAAACAAACCAATTTAGGGGGAAATGGCGGCAGCTATTCCTATTCAGCGGGCGTCAGAGCAACAACATTTATGTCAGAATTTATGACCAGGGTCTAGCTGAATGTGTCCGTGTGCGTCTGTGTGACTGTATTTATCAATTGATCAATATTAATCAAATGAAATTCCAACGCCAATGCCAGGACAGTCGAAAATTGCTTGGGCAGATTCAGACGTCTGACAGGCAAATGCTTCCCTTAGCTACTGAACGATTGCGATACGAATGGACCGAGACCAATTCGAAAACAGTTTGGCGAAAAGAGAGAGGGCAGCGCAATTAGTTGGGCAAAGGGAGATGGGAGATGGGAGATGGGCAGAGTAAGAGTGAGTGGGAGAATAAGTGAGAGAGGGTAATTGTGAGAGCGCTGGGATAGTGTGTTAGTCTCGAATCTAGGGTCTAGACTCTAGAGCGCGTCGCGATGGCTAAGCGATTAATTCAACTTGTCACAACTTGCGTATCCGTAGCAAATTGATAAAGGCGTTGGCAACGTTGACGGCGCAGCTGACGCCGACGTTGACACCGACGTTGGCGCTGTTGTTGACGCCGGCGTTGCTTTAGCCGTCAGCACGTTGTCGAGCATTATGATATTTTTGCTTGTATATATGACAGCCGACAGCAAATCGTACAGCGACGCTTATCTTGAAAGTGAAATAACACAGCTAAACACATGCATATAAACCAATATATATATGTAGATATGTTTGTAATTTGAACGCCTTGATAATTCTCAGAGAAGCGTAATTTATGCGCCTGCAATTAGTTGTGCGCGCTGTAATTGTCAACCAAGAACTTGGTGCTGGTTCTATGCCAAATTGATGTTTCGATAAAAATGATGCATACACAAATAAACACACGCAAGCACACAAATGCATACAATTGCATGCACATATTAGCGGCATGCAACTGGTGGTTGCGGCAAAGGCAATACACACCGGCAACCCTATGCTCAACATATTACTTAGCGCAACAATAAATATATTGACACTTTATTTTCACTTGCCTTTTTATTACAAATTTTTGAATACAAATTCAAAAACTTTCATTTTAATGAAATAAAATTCAAAAAATGTAAACAGAAAAAGGTAAACAAAGCAGACAAGGTAGGAGACTGTATGACCAGTTTAAAATAAAAAGTGTGACCTATTACCCAAAAATGTTAAGTTTCGATAGCAAACATCTGATGGGCGGCAGCTCGATAAATGCCTCGTTTGCCAAGACAATAATACAAATTGCAGAAAATGTTATGAAACAGGCCGGCTTAACTTTTACTTACTGTTTTGTTTACGTTTCCAAGGTTTGGAAGAATTCTTATATAAAATTCATCAATGTTTTGAGTAAAAGGAACTTTGCTTATTATATATATAAATTCGTTTTTGTTTTGATTTTCATAGCATTACAGTCGGTTTCGATCTTAAATGTGAATTATAATTATTAATTTAAGTTTCATGCGTTACTTTGACAACCAATTAGTTAAATTTTGAAAGCACAACACTTGTTGCTGCGAAAATATCACAACGCTAGTAATTGTATTTTAACACGTAACATTAGGTTAACAGAGCGCGTTTTTTTCGCATTCATATTAACAGTGGCATCGATACCGATAATTATAATTGGATGCACACTGTGATATGAAGTTATTACAACTATCAACAGAGGGCGTTAGCTTTGCGGGAATTTTCAAACAGATTAAAATATTAATAAAAATTTCCAAATTTTAAGTATTATTTCTCAAAGAAATATGTCGAAACGATTGATACAATCACTTTACCGCTTGAAACCAACTAAAACGTTATTCATGTTGTGTGACGTACAGGAAAAATTCAAACCAGCTATTCCCTTGCTCGGGGCGGTAATTGAAAACTCAAATAAATTGGTAAGCTATGTATATTTTTACCATAGATACAATAACTCAAGTTTTAGATAGAAGCGGGTAAGCTGTTGAATGTTCCATTAGTGGTTACGGAGCAATATCCTGAAAGATTAGGCAGCACAGTACACGAATTGGATGTGAAGCATGCCTGTGGCATCGTGCCAAAGACCAGGTTCAGCATGATTGTACCGGAAGTTACAAATATAATGAACGATATTTTTAGCGATAAGCCCGAGACGGCTGTGCTTTTTGGCATTGAGGCAAGCGATTATGTGCGAATATCGTTTATTTCTGTTTAACATTTTATTGCCCCTACAGACGCATGTGTGCATAGAGCAAACGGCCTTTGACCTTATCAATAATAGCATAAATGTGTGGCTGGTCGCTGACTGCTGTGCTTCGCGTCTCAATCAGGATCGCGATTTAGCACTGGCGCGGCTACGTGGCATTGGCTGCATAATAGCCAGCACGGAAAGCGTGATATTCAATCTGCTCTCCGATAAGAACCACAAGTCCTTCAAGCAGATAGCGCCGCTCTTGAAGAAAGTGTCAGCCGACGTGAAGCTTTGGCTACCCACAACGAGTGTCAAGGACAAGGAATGATATGGCCAAGCGGCGTCTTTGATGTCTATTCATTTACCATTAAGGTAGTATTTTTGTGTAGCTCATAGAAATTATGAAAGAGTCGAGCAGAGATAGGGCCTGCCTGTCCTCCGGCCAGCATCGTCATCTCATAAACATTTTGCCCAGCGGACAGCTGAATGGAGCGTTACCTCAGCGGCGCCTTATAAGCCAGCCAGCCAGGCAGTAGCGGTAGCCTGCATTGACGCCAAGCCTCCTTGCTGCCAATTTATGCGAAGACTTTCGAGCACCCCTTGTACGACTATACCAAGGCAGTTAAATTTCATGATCCAATCGCAACAATCTCCGCATGTTGTTTGCCTACGCGCCAGAGGCAACCGCTAGGTGATGGTGACAATGTAGCAGGCGTCTGATTGACTCATAACAGGCCAAGATCCCAATCTCATCTGCATGCCAGGCAGCTAGATCGCTGTCTAGCTAGCTAGCCCCCTCCGGCTCTGTTGGCAATTTATTTGCCTAAGCCCTGCCAGCTGAGTGCCAGCTCGATTGGATCGCAAGTGAAACTGATGGCTACGGCGCGATGGCACGCGATATGCAAACAGCATGCCCAAAGATCTGGCCAATTATGCACCAGCTCGCTTATCTAATCCCAACAAAATATTAAGCTGCAGCTTAGCCAGCAACGCGGCGTGTGAGCGGCTGCAGCCACGCCAAGCTGCAGTGCAACGGTAACGTGCGTAAGCGTCGGCCAGCTTTGGCGGCTCCAGCTGTTAGCTGCCAGCTGATAGCAGGCTGCAGCCTGTTGCCAGTCGCTGACGCAGCCAGCGGCCATAAATTTCCGGGCCGAGGTTCGAGACCGGTTCGCAAGCGTGGCATATTAATAAATTTTGGTTTAGCAAAACGATAAAAATGATAAATCTGCGAAATTGCCAAACCGTGTGCAAATGAACAGGCGATCAGGCAAGCTTCAGCTCTACGACTCATCGCGACTGGGATTTATGTGTCTGCTGCCCGGCAAGTGGTAAGTGGCAAGTGGCAACAGCAACTGCAACTGCAACTCAGCTGCTGGACTGAATTGTAAACAAATTTAAAGCTAAGCTAGCCGATGTATTTATACGCTTATTTCGATTATTTTATTTATGCATAATTAATTGTTTAAAATCAAGTAATCGTAAATGCAAAATTCTCGTAAAATATTAAAAAAAAAATATTTAGTGAAATATAAAATAAATGAGCTGCATCCGAACGGAAAATCGTCATTAAATTGTGATTTTAAAATACTAAATACTAATTATAGTATTTATAATAATAATATAAATTATAGTTTATGTATTATGAGTTACCTTATCTATGCTAAGTACCTGGCAGCCCTATAACAGTACCTGCAATACCCTTTAGCTGAGCATGTTGCATGCCACCATATTTGCCGCCAGAATGTGCCGCCGAGGAGTGTTGACAAATGTGAGAATCTCGAGCGGCGCTTCAAAGAGCCGTTGCCCGGGCTGTGTCAGAAGTTGCATAATTTATGGAGATGTTGCTGCCTGTTGCCCAAATTAGCCAAATTTTGCCCGAGGGTCGGTTCTCTGGGTAATGAGATAACAACGTCAGCAGCAGCTATAACTAATGAAATATATTAGTCTAGATGAGTATCATTTGCATTTCCCACACTGGGCAGGCAGGCAGCCAAAGCTCTTTACTAATTTAGTAGTTAAGTAATTCACATGCAGCAATTAGTTCAATAATTTTATGCTAATTATGCACATCAAGCATTTGGGTTCTTGGGCACCGCCTGCTAGTCGTAGTGGGCGTGGCTGTATTTGTGTCTAGCGGTCATAGGGAATTTTCGCTGTCTCTCTCGAAATAAACTCTTTCCGAGTCACCTGTTAACCCAGTAAAATGCAAGCGGCCGCCGACCATTGCCCAGCAATTAGTGGGCTCCTCAGCTGGTTAGAGAGAGATGGGTGTATCTGTGCAGTGTACAGTGAGTACTACTTAAGAGTAACATCTAATTAGCATATTAGTTATTTACAGCATTCAAAAGGGGCTCGCTCCAATCGTGCTGCGGCCCCACGGCATTTGGGGCGTTCGCTGGGTGTGTGAATGTTTGTATACGAGTGTATGCAACTATTATAATTAAGTTAGAGTTACAGCTCTGGGCCACGCTAAGTGGTCGGTAACAAGCAAAAGTCATAAAGCCATAAGTACAGTTAGACTATTAGCAAGGATATGAGAATGGGCCATGAGAAACACGACAAATTCTAGGACGATGTGCATCAGCATCTTCAGTGATGCAGTAATAGAATCTAGTTGAGTGTTAACTCAACTGTCAATATAGATATAGATATATAAACTAGATCTGTTAAAGACAAGCCGTCATAAGTCAAGTTTGGACTGAAGTGATGGGATCTAGCAACTAGAACTGTTAAGATATAAAAGATATACTCGCACCAAAGGCTTTACTCCAACTCAAAATGAATGCAAAAGTTTCAATATGCTTCACAGTTCTTTGCGGGGCCTGAGTAATCTCGAAACTAGATACATTTATATATAAGATGCAGTGCATGCTTTTCTTGCTCACTATCAAAGATAGGAGTCTAGCAACAAGATCAGATCTAGATATGAACAAACTTGAAATGCTATCAAAAGTAAGAAATTCAAAGCTTGCTTAAATTGAATGCTCGTGTGAGCAATGGAATCTGAATTTGCTTGTTGCCTATCAAAGAGAGTCTGGCAACTAGATCAAATGGAGATATGAAATGAATGCTTGGGCCAAAGCTTGAAATGTTTTCACCGCAATTCTATCTTCAGTCTGATATCCCAGTGGGCATTAACAATAGCAACAGCAGTTTGTGAAAGGCAACATGCATTTGTTGATGTATTTACATATGTTACTAATTTGGTTATTGGTAATTTGGTTGCGACAAGTTACCGTAAATGCGTCGACTCGCTGACATAAAAAAAAAAAAAGAAACAAAACATAAAAAATACCGAAAATAAAACAGAAAAAAAATCTAGAAAGATTTACAAATTTATGCTGAAAACTCGCTGTTGTAGCATTTATATGGGCAATTGGCCAAAATGTTGGCCAACTTCAACACATTTGCGTGCTTTATCTCTGTCGCCGTCGTCGTCGTCGTCGTCTTCATCTCCTTTGCGGTTTTGGCCTTTGTTGGACACATCAAAGTGACTTGAGTCCCATTTGACTTGCAGTTTATGCAGTTACAGTTGCCAAATTTGGTCAATTTCACTTGTTCAGTTCGAAATTTATGCCATCTTGGGTAAAGCCTGACTTGAGACTTGAGTGCAGCGACTGATGCCGCCTTTGCGGGTGCTGAGAGGTGGGCGCCTAGCTACGCAAATTAAATATGCATCATGCATTGCTACGTTTACTTTCTACGTTTATTTGCATATTAACAGGAGATATTCAACTAGAAGACATTGCCAAGATATTCAGCATTTTATACTTTATATGTGAGACTTTTTTTGTGCACATCCTGTAGCCAATGCTCAAATCCGGAAGACCAATTGATTTTGTTCTACAAACCCATATTTGCTGGATTTATGAATTGTGATCGATCTACTGACAAAGCTCAACTCGATGGGCAAAAGGGCAACACATCATACGAACCCTTCAGCAATTAGCCCAGCTAAGTTCTTCTCACTTCACAAGTTTCACATCTAACTATAGCTTGGCCTGGCTTTAGCTTTCTTCGCCCAACCCATTTGAAGCTGCTTAGCGAAATCCACTTGCCAAAATGTCAAAAGGCTTGCGATGTTCAATCAGGGAACGTTTGCTGTTTCGCCGACAGCCTCATTGCACCAATTTGTCAGTGAGTCAAAGCATTTTGTCACGATTTGCCATAAACACCTTGTGGAGCTGGCCCAAAACGCTTTTCCCCCCAACGATTATTGTTATTAAATCGAAGTGATTTGTGCACTTTGGCACAAAAGAGGCCGCCGCTTCAGCTTGCATTGAGTAAATAAATAGAAAGTGAAGTTGTGTGCCCCGTGTTTTCCAGCAGGTCAATCGATAGACCCTGCCAGAGCCACACAACTACACGGATTCACTTTTCAGACTGAAGAATAGAAACGGGCTAATGATAATGTTTGAATTATTCCCGTGCAGTTGAAGAGCGGATCAGCTGTAGACATAATGAACGCCATTACGAATCGAGCGCTGCTCTGTGAGATTCCAAAAACGGGTCTACTCTCGTTTATAGAGCAGCTCCCACAATGGCTTACGTGGAGTTGATGCTGCCTCTGCTGCTGCTGTCAAACGCAATCAATTAAGGTTAATTTGCAGCCACTTCCCAAATTACTAGCACAAATGGGTCTTGAAGCCACCGCAGTAGTCGGGTATTGGATCATTGGAGCTGCCTGACAGCTAGCTATATGTGTCAGTGGCATTGGCCAAAAATTTTTTCTTTGCGGTTATGATTTGTGAAATTCTTTGGTTGGCTGAGTTGACCGCACTTGGGCACATGCCAACGCCAACACTCTCTGGGCCGTGATTAATGGCGTGTGGAACATAAATTTGGCACAGGTTGTGGAGCAAACAGCAATGTGCCCAGAGCCTTGCGGCTGCTCTTGCCCAGATCTGATCTTGTATGCTGTGCATGCAATCGCGGCATTGATTTTGCACAAAAGCATTTGCCAGTTAGCCAAGTTGGTACGCTTGTAGGCCTGTCAGCCAACCTGACAAAATTGACAGCCAACACTGACAACGGCGGCGACGACGACGACGATGGCGACATGGACAATGGCAACCACAACAACGAGCAGCAGCAGCTACAGCGAATTTGGCCAAACAGTAGCCCATGTTTGACAATCAAATATGGGAACGCCGTGCTATGTAGTACCTGTGCCATGACCCATATCAGTCATTGGCAAGCCAAAAGTTCACCGGGTCGTGGGCCGGCATTTAGCATGTGCCATTGGGCATAAGGTAACAAATGGCATATGGCATATGAAAAGTGAAATTTTCGGCGGCTAGTCAATGGCCTGGCCAAATAGAAAAGAGACACTGCCAAAGCATATTGGGGAAAAAAAGTTTCGAACTGACCTCATTGAGCCCACGCTTAGCACAGCTTTTGGAATTCACGGGAATGGCTGAGTGAGCGAGTGAGTGAGTGAATGAATGAATGAATGATAGCCTGCCAGAGCCACTTGCCGAATTGCCAGTTGGACTTTTGATTATCTGGCCGGGTTCTTCAGCTTCAGCTGCGGCTGCGACAGCGACAGCGGTTGCGCCTGCTGCGGGCCGGTTTCGCTGGCATATAAAATGTGTTGACACGAAAGCGCAGCGAGCAACCAAAACAGGGAATTCTGAAAAGTAAAAAACAGCTCCAACAACAACAACAACAACAACAACAAGAGCCAGTGAAATGCTGAAATCTTATGCTGATTGCCAGCCGTAACAGCTGCCTGTGTAATTTCTGCAGGGAAACAAAAAGTGAAGGCGTCTCCAAGAGCATCTTTCGGGCAAACGGAGCAGGCACTTTCATTAAAAGTTTCGGCCAATTCGAAGTCATTAAATTGCAGCCAGAATTGCACAAAGATAATTTTGCTTTTTTGGTCATGCATCAACTTCCTGGCTGTAAAAGCAAAGTCAAAGCGCAAAGACAAACAGCAAAGCCAAAGCACTCAATTGTGGCAGCTGTAAGCGCTGAGTGGCTCATTTCTTTTTGTGTTTGCCAACGACTCCAAACGGGTTTTGGTTTGGATTGAGAACTTCTTCGAGCCGAGCCTGACGCTGGGCCAGTCCCGGGTCTGAATCCAAAGCTTTCCATCAACTGCTGCGCTGCTCTTTATTTTAATTTGCGCACCTAAGTAAATGCCTGGCAAGTGCTAATGAGACATAACGACGTGGCCGTCGCCAAGGCCAAGGATCCATTTATTATTTTTAGCAAATAGCAACAGCTGCGCCACGCTTGCGCCTGGATAGACCCTGCCTAAGCCTGCCCAGCATTTGGAATGCCAATATTTTCTAATATTCGCAATCATTTAACTTAATGTGCGCTCATTTATTTTGCGTGCCCGCAGATGTGGCCCAGGCCTAGGCCACTGCTGCAGTTCGAGTTGAAGTTGGAGATTTCAGTTAGATCGGGCGCGCATCGCTGGGCAAACAAAAACCAAAAAAAGTT